TGGGGAAGGCTTATCTGTGCCACACAGATCAATTCATTTTGCTCAGCTTCCTGCTGCCTGATTGAATATTCATTTTCTGCTGTTGTTCTCCTTCAGTCCTTTTGTTGACTTTCTTCTCCCACTTCCTTCCCGACAAGACTGGGATCAATGGCGGAAGGTGTGGTGGGACTGAAACCACCAAGGCAGATGAACCTTGGGAACAATAGAATCATAGGATAACAGAGTTGGAAGGGACCTTGGAGGTCTTCTAGTCCAACCCCCTGCTCGGGCAGAAAACCCTACACACCACTTCAGCAAATGGATATCCAATATCTTTTTAAAAACTTCCAGTGTTGGAGCATTCACAACTTCTGGAGGCAAGTTGTTCCACTGGTCTCACGCTTAGATTTAGAGTAACAGACTCGGAAGGGACCTTGGAGGTCCTCTAGTCCAACCCCCTGCTTAGGCAGGAAACCCTACACCATTTCAGAGGGATGGCTGTCCAATCTCTTCCAGTGTTCGAGCATTCACAACTTGTAAGGATAACTAAGGATTTTTTTTTTTAAAGGAAACGTGGAACAAAATGGATGCATTTAATTCCACTCAACGTAATTAGCATTAATTAATTAACAACTGGTTTTTGTCTCAGGCAGCCTTGCGGATGAAAGCACCAGGCCCATGATGCAGGCTGGCAACAGATCAATGCTTTTTTTTTTAAAACTGTAGAGGAACGGAGGGCAGGAACGCCTTACATTAATTCTACCAGCAACGTTTTAAATGTTATATATCCCCCGGGACGCTGCTCCACAGTGCCTCATCTGTCAGATTGTTAGAGGCACTAAGAGCTTCAGCGTTTCTTCTTCTGGCACCTATAAAAGATTTCTTCCCCGAGCACCAGAAGATTCATGCATCGTGCCAAGGTGGCCTATGGCAGAACCATCTGGGAATTTTACCCTGTGATGGAGCTTTTGAAATGAACACGGTGGCACCTTGAGACCGATAAAACTGCTTGAGACTCAGAATGGAATGGAATGAGAATGGGAATAGGAATGGAATGGAATAGAATAAGGAATGGAAATGGAAATAGAATAGGAATGGAATAGAATAAGGAATTGGAATAGGAATGGAGTAGGAATAGGAATAGAATAGGAAGAAATAGAAATAGAATAGGAATGGGGAAGAAGGCGGGGCTTAGCAGTGAGAAGATGGAGTTTTAGGCTACTCCTGAAATTCCTNTGATTGAGCCAAAGTCACCCAGCTGGCTTTCTAGTCCTAAAACAGGACTAGAACTCCCAGTTTCCTGACAATTGATCCAAAGTCACCCAGCTGGTTTTCATGCCTAAGGCAGGACTAGAACTCCCCATCTCCTGCTGATTGAGCCAAAGTCACCTAGTCAGCTTTCATGTCTAAGGCAGGACTGGAACTCACAGTCTCCTGGTGATTGAGCCAAAGTCACCCAGCTGGCTTTCTAGTCCTAAAACAGGACTAGAATTCCCAGTTTCCTGGTTTCAAGCCTGCTGCCTTCACCACTACACCAAATTCACTCACCCTACAATCCCCAATCCTCACAGATTTGTTTTTTGAATGCCGTTTGCGGGCTTGAGGGATGGAGGCTTGTCACGAACGTATGAATTACCCAGATCTCATCGCGACCAGCTTTGAAGGAAGCTTTAATGCCCGATTTATTTGTTCCATTTCCATAAAATGCGGTCCAGCCGTAATTGCCTCGGATGTGGGTATTATGGTTGGAATTTTAATCTTGGTGGCTCAATGGGCTGTGATCACGTTTGATTATAATGTGCTTTAATTGCGTGCACCTGATTGCTGAGGGCTACTTTGAGGGAAGAGGGGGGGGGGATTGGCTGGAAAGTTGGCTGGAAACATACCTATGTTTAAAATCAACGCTTTCATGTTTACGCAGCGGGAAAAAAAGAATGCCGTTAATTAAAACGGGTTGGTTTTAAGCACCATGGAGAGCGCCAAAGAGGTAACTCACTCCAAGGCTGAATTTGACCTTCGGGAATGAGGACCACAGCTGGGTTAGCCCAGATGTTTAAGCAGTTGGCTTCGTAGTCGTGCTTTTTGGAATAAGACACAACACATGAGCCAGCAGTGCTTTAACGGTTATGGCACCAGGCTAGAGAGCAGGAGATGGAGAGTTCTAGTCCGGGCTTAGGCACGAAAGGAGACTGAGGGACTTTGGGCCAATCACCAGGAGACTGAGAGTTCTAGTCTCACCTTGGGCATGAAAGCCAACTGGGTGACTTTGAGCCAATCACCAGGAGACAGGGAGTTCTAGTCCCACCTAAGGCATGAAAGCCAACTGGGTGACTTTGATCCAATCACCAGGAGACGGAGTTCTACCCCCACCTTGGCCATGAAAGTAAACTGGGTGACTCTGAGCCAACCACTAGGAGACAGGGAGTTCTAGTCCCACCTAAGGCATGAAAGCCAACTGGGTGACTTTGATCCAATCACCAGGAGACGGAGTTCTACCCCCACCTTGGCCATGAAAGTAAAC